CATGATCGTTTTTTTCGGCAAAAACCCCCTACTATACATGATCGTTTTGTTCTGCTAAAAACGCCTTACTATACATGGTCGTTTTTTTTCGGCTAAAATGCCTTCCTATACATGGTCGTTTTTTTTTCAACTAAAAGCGCCTTACTTTACATGATCGTTTTTTTCGGCTAAAAACCCCTTACTATACATGATCGTTTTTTTCTGCTAAAAATGCCTTACTATACATGGTCGTTTTTTTCGACTAAAAACGCCTTACTTTACATGATCGTTTTTTTTCGGCTAAAGACCCCCTACAATACATGTCCGTTTTTTTTTTTGGGCTAAAAACGCCTGACTATACATGGTTGTTTTTTTTTTGGCTAAAAACGCCATACTGTACATGGTCGTTTTTTTCGTCTAAAAACGCTTTACGATACATGGTCGTTTTTTTGGGGTTAAAACGCCATACTATACATGGTAATTATTTTCGGCTAAAAACTCTTCGCTATACATGGTCGGTTCTTTTCAGCTAAAAACGCCTGACTATACATGGTCGTTTTTTTCTGCTAAAAACGCCTTCCTATACTTGGTCGTTTTTTTCGGCTAAAAATGGCTGACTATACATGGTCGGTTTTTTTTGGGCTAAAAACGCCTGACTATACATGGTCGTTTTTTTTTGGCTAAAAACGCCTTACTATACATGGTCGTTTCGGCTTAAAACGCCTTCCTATACATGGTCGTTTTTTTTTGTCTAAAAACGCTTTACGATACATGGTCGTTTTTTTGGGGTTAAAACGCCATACTATACATGGTAATTATTTTCGGCTAAAAACGCCTTACTTTACATGGTCATTTTTTTTTCCGATAAAAACCCCGTACTATACATGGCCGTTTTTTTTCGACTAAAAACGCCTTCCTATACTTGGTCGTTTTTTTCGGCTAAAAATGGCTGACTATACATGGTCGTTTTTTTTTGGCTAAAAACGCCTTCCTAAACATGATGGTTTTTTTCGACTAAAAACGCCTTACTATTCATCAGGGGTGTATAACATACGGCCGGAACCGGCCCGCAAGGAGGTTTGATCAGGCCTGCAGGATAATTTAAAAGTGAAAAAATGTACAAAAGACACGGAATGAATACTTTTAATAGGGTGCAATTCATGGAATATCCGGTAGGGAGAGACACTGTTTTGATCAGAGGAAAAGACAACATTGTTTTGATCAGAGAAGAAGACAACAGCAGCCTCAGTCTGTCACTGAGACAGACCCAACACAACAAGCCTCGTTTCATTTTTCAGAGTTGATGGAAGATTGATCTTGGGTCCTCCGTGCCACAAGAGGGAGTGACCTGCTCACCGCCAGAGTCCACCTTCGAGCACAGACTTGCAGGCAACACTTTTTGCTCTTCTTCCTGTTTTCGCAAGGTGCTGAAGTCAAACTTTGGGCCAGCCTGAAAAGTAGGAGACATTTACACTCGTTCAATGCACCATCATGATTACTTTTTTGACTTTTTTTTTTTTCTCCCCCAGGCAGCAGTAAACATGATCGGCTTCCTGCTCTCGAAAGACCCAACAGTCTATCTCCCTGATAAGTTTCATGCCCAACACATCTTTGTCTGCACAAGAAATTGACTTAATTGTAACTCACGGATGCCTTTCCTCTCAGGTCAACACACCTGTCCCATGTTCTTCTCAAGAGCTGACCACTTCGCCGCCCAGCAACAAGCAGAGTGCCATCCAACTTGCAACTTTTTCCTCTGCTTTTATGATTGTCTACTCTGCAAAAGAAATAAAGCTTGATTACAAAAAACACTTCAACTCAACTTCATCACCACAATCTAACTTAAAAAAAAAAAAAAAAATTAAACAAAATTATTTTGTTTTTTTTCTCAACTTTTTTCTGAATTTTTTTCAATTTTTATTTTTTCCAGGCAGAAAAATCCAGGCAAGTGGGTGTGGCCTGGCTGGAATGATGGCTGATGATTCGCTGATAGCTGTGAAAGTGAGTGGAGCATGACGATAACATGCTGTGATTGGTGGAAAGGGGAGTGGTTATGCAAATTACGTGTTCTCTGATTGGTGTGCCTTTTGGGCGTGCTTATGCAAATTTGGAGCAACCTGATTGGTCAGAACTTGCAACATGCAAATTATGGTTTGGGTTATGCAAATATTGCCTCACCACGATTGGTGGATGTCAAATTGGGTGTGGTTTGGGGCGGGCATTGCAGCACTTTTTCAAAGTCCCACTTGAGTCTTGAGCTTGAGTCACATCAGACAGTCTTTTCACTGTTCCCGTCGGTTTCACATGACCCAAAAGCTCGATTCCTGGAGTATCAAGTCATGTGGAGACCAACGGGAACAGTGAAAAGACTGTCTGATGTGACTGAAGCGCAAGTCTGAGCTCAAGACATCAGTCTTTGAAAAGGCTTCGAGTGAGTTGAGGATGAATTTAGTCATGAAACGCAAAGACACAGATTCAAGATTTATTGGACAGAAAAGCGAACATGACAATGTGAAAGCATTTGACCAGTCAATCTTTGTGTGGCCAGTTCAAGTTGCACGCACACAAACACTGACGACAGGCCTGAGATGGGAGCATGTGCTTGACCAGCTCATGCGTGATGTCACTGACATCTCATGACACACCAAGGGGGACATGAGCATGTCCGACTTCTCTCACTGAGACAAAAACTAACTGCCGTGTACTCCACAACAACATGATCACACTCTTCTGGTCAAGTTTTTAAATGACATTGAAGTGGGCCAAGTTAGTCATATGTATGTATACTGTATATTATATATATATATGCATACATAGACACATTTTTAGACTAACTTGGTCCACTTCAAGGTTTAAAACCATATTCCAGAAGTGCTTTATGATGCTCGGGTTGTCTATGTGGAGTTGACACTGTTGTGCAGTCCACGAAGCAGAAGTTTAAGTTGAGTGAGACACAGATAGGCAGGCGCACTCACCTCCACCTTGTGGTGCAACGTGAGATCAGACATCAGCTCTTCAAGCACACCACACAGCTCAGTACTCACGCGTCCAAATGCAGGTTGGCGTCCCTTCCGCATGCCTCCGAGTCTGGCAGCTGCCCCTTTGGCCCAGTAATCTGACTAATCTGGTCAGGCAGAAAAACAAAACAAAAGTGGAAAGTCACACACTGTAGTCCATAAAAAAAGTTGTTTCTTATTTTCTTTTTAATTTGAGTCATTATTCGTAAAGTGGCAGACTTTTACTTTCAACCCGCCCATTTCCAAAGGTGCCCGCACTCGCAATGCATCTGTTTGAGCGATCCACTCGCGGCTCTCTCCCCACACCTAAAGTACAATGAGCAACCTCCTTTCGAAAAACAAATGAACAAAGTCACGAGTGCATTTGTGGGAATAGTTTTGAAACAAATCTGCCCCCC